TTTGCACAGTTTTTACCAAAAAAAAAAAACATGTAAGTTGAGTCATGCTCTTGGAGGCAGATAATGTTAGCTAAATGATGCCATTATATCATGTTTAGCTAGTTAACAAGATTAGTTGTTTTTACCTGTTACATCCCTTGCTAGTTAGTTAATGGTATAGATCAAGGATAGTAAATTGTGGTCCTCGAGGTCCGCAGCCCTGCATGTTTTACTTGTTTATCTTCTCTGACACACCTGATTTGAATGAATGGATGGTGTCCAGGCTTCTGCAGAACTTGAAAGAGGTAATTCACTAACTGAATCAGGTGTGTTAGAGAAGGGAAAAAAGTGATTTGTCTTATGAGCTAGCATTGAGCTAAGTAATAATTTGCTTACAGTAATGGTATTTAACATTTGGCACTTAATGTTCTGGCAACTAAAACTTTTGATTTTGTTAGTGAATAGTTTAAAGAACTGAAAGTCAGTCTCCTGGAGCTGTACTGTGGCTGTTAGTAGTTTTATGTGTTTTTAGACACTAAGGAGAGGTGTGATTTAATGAGAAAGCAAGATAAATCACTTAATAGACCTTTAAAAAATGTGTCCCCCTCACTTCTGAGATTATGGTTATGCCCTTGAGTGAGGGCACCAGCAAAATATCTGGTTATCTCTCGCTTTTGTTTTAAAAAAGTCTGCTGGAGCTCTTGTGCTGCACAGAGAAGCCGTCTGTGACTGTAAACGTGAGTGTAGATCTTCTCCTCATTGGTCAGTCCACATGAGGCAGGTCAGGTGATGCCGGTCAACGTCTGAGAGGGTTTCGTGACGTCAAGCATCGCTTATATGTGAAATTGTAGGACACGTCCCTCAATCTCAATGTAGTGGGTCAATTTTACCAGATTATACTGATGTGTTTTGTTTTTAAAGCATCATGTGAGGGAGCATCCTTGACAAGAGGACATAGTGTATTTGTAGTTCTATGAGCATTTGTACATTTGTATATCAAAATACACTTAGAATTTGAAGTATTGAATATTTTTCTTTATATTACAGTAATTACCTCTGCCAAGGAGGTTATGTTTTTGTTCACATCTGTCTGTATGTGGACAAAATTACTCAACAACTTATGGATGGATTTTCATGGCATTTTTACCACAGATGGGTATTGGCCAACGGAACATACCATTAAATTTTGGGGATGATACGTGTCACAATCCATCCATCCATCCATCCATCCATCC